ATATATATATATATATATATATATATATATATATATATATATATATATATATATATTTTTATATATATTTATATTCCACAAATTGTACAGTTCGCGAGTGAATACCAAAACGTTTTCCAGCTGCGTATATTGAATTAAAATTTTTCTTCTTTCCAGTCTCTGAATGTATGAATATAACTGACCTCTTTTCAAACATTTTACATCTCCTAGTATTTCCACATGCACTATTATGACTGTGTAACAACCTCCTGCAGGTTAGATAAATTATTATTTTTGCGAAATATATATATATATATATATATATATATATATATATATATATATATATATATATATATATATATATATATATATATATATATATATATATATATATATATATATTTGTCTCAATGATTATTTTGAAATCTGGCCAGATAGTCTTCAGCGGTTTAGAACGAATTCACCTGACAACTTCTTATGATAATATCGTTCAGCTCTCTGTGTCTTTTACCAACACACAACTGTGTTTCTCCTCTGACGACAACACGGCATAATAAACACGGTTTCGGTCCTAGACTCCCCTACGATAGCTTTGCATATGTTGGCAACACAATTCATTTACGCATGATTTTTTTTTGCAAGGAGTTGAAAATCCAATTATAAGCCACTGCGTCGGTTGCTTGTTTGAATCATTATATACATATAATTAAAGTTTAATCAAACATATTTGTCTTAAATATTTTATGGAGGAATTTAAGAGCTTAACCATAATTGAACCTTCCACCGCAAGATTTGATCTCGAAAAATTACCAAAATCTAAATTTAATTTTTCGATGCAAGATAAATTGCCTTGATAAATAGCGATATAACCGATTGTACCCGTGAAGCTAAAATATATTTTCGCAACGATGGTGTGGCTCATACTTGGTCGACATTCAGGATTACGAATGTTGTTGACACAAGGATGTGTGAGGAACTAGGTAAAATATTATTAACTATCTCGACAATCAGAGATATATTATTCTAGTAAAATTTACTGTGGAGACAGATGATGACACTTGGATTATTTGTAACAAACGCGATCCGATACGCGCTACTGGAAATAATACTGTTACATTAAAAAATAATTCTAAGCCAGGAATATTGACCGGTATTGATAAACCGTATTATGAACAAGCATATCCGGTAACGTCAGTTATCAACGCGATATATCCGCTAAATGATAAACCTAGCGTTGGAAATCTCAAGCCGATGAAATTTTCAAGGAGAATAAACTCAATAGCAATACGAAGAACCGGTGTAACAGATCTAAGACGTATAAAAATAACTGCGTGGGCAGAAACAGTTAAACATACTGGAGCATATCAGCGAAGTTGCTAAGCTAGAAAAGAAATTAAAATTTCCAATAACAGTAAAAACACTGACCGGAGAGTTTTTATATAAGTCAAAACACCCATCAAGAGGAGCTCCAATTACAATCATTGATCAAAACGCACTTGCATGGACTGATGCTGTGGCAATATTTCCACGAGATAGAACAGTTAAATTTTAATGCGATGCTATCAGTGATATCAGTAAGAGAAACCCGTATCTGTTTGGTTATTTCAGAGTTCAGAATCCGCACAAATTCGATTAGTTTGTGAAACCTAACGAAGCGATTTACTGTAGTAATCTCTCCATGAAGAAAAAAAAAGACTCTTGTGTAACGCGTAAATATAATTCTAATGATATTGAAGTTAAACAATTACTAAATAATTGTTTTACAGATCCATCAGTTGAAGCTCACTTTACTCATGATCGCCGAGAAGATCAGAATTCCTTGAAGATCCCAGAAAAAATGTGTCGAATATGGCAGTGGCGGATTATGGAATACGATCTTCGGAAAGTTATATCGGTTGATATGATTGCGTGTTATCCTGAATGTTTTTTCGGGTACTGAGACTGTTCTGAATACTTTAAGCGATTTGGACATCCGACACTTGAGATGACAAGAGTTGCGATAAATAAACCATGATCTGATTTCGATTTAACTGCATTCGCTTGTGCTAAATCATTGAAGTTTTGTAATAATCTTGATCCGATCGTTTATGGGTGGTTTGGTAAATATTTCTCAGAAAAAAATATTGGGTTTCCAACGGTGCTAATACGATATATGTTTGATACCGAAATCTAAACGTCGTTGAGTGTAAGTGAAGCTATTATATCATATCATCCGCAACTTTGGTTGCCACAACAAAAGAAACATTTGCAACAACGTTACAAAAGATCTTGGTAGGAAAATAATCGGCAAGTTTACTCAAGGTGGTTCGTATGATCATAAACGACATTGTACAAGATTGGTAATGGATGATGTTGAGTTGGATTTTATAATTGTTGATACAACGAACAAAGGTACATTTATAAGCAGAAGCAATTATTTTTTCGCGAGACGGAATTAAATTTGATACAATCTTAAGTTATATCGATGGTGAATAACCACAATTTACTCAGTTAAGATCTTTTGTGATCGCTTACATTTCCATGAATTTATTATCGATGATAAATAATTTTCCTTTTAACGCTGTCAGAGTTGCTACGAATTCGTTTTATATAATTTTTTTTTAGATTTGGCAAAATCGTTACTCGGCAGCGGCGAATGGGGATCATGGAAAATAAAACAAGAAAGTATACTAGATTATTCTGAAACAGCTGATGTTGATATAAAAAAATATACTACGGTAATGACAATCAAAAACCAGTATCAACATCACCATCACCATCACCATATGTATTTGATCCCGTGGCTAGACATAACACTATTTATCTTAATAGACCTAGAAGTTATGACAAAACAACACGTGCCATTGAATTAATTTGGCACGGTACGTCGGACATGATTGTGTTGACACCTGCATACAGACTAGCAAGAGAAATAAAACAACGAAGAGTTAAATCATTTACATACCATGGTTTCTTCAAATGATGTGGAGATACATGGACATCTGAGCGAATGGTTGAGAAATATGCTCCAAAAATCATCATCTGGGATAAGATTTGTACGGTGTCGATAGAAACACTAAAAATATTTCTTAATTAGTTACTTAAAAAACATACTGCAGTGATTATGTGCGGCGATTATGGTCAACCACCACCTTTCATTGGACAGTCTCCGCAAGAGTGGTTAAAAACGTTTGTGGATTATTATGAAGAGATAACCGATGATCATAGAGCTATTGATAAACCTCTGAAAGAAATTAAAATATTAATCAGACTACAGCCAGGTAAATATAAATACCTTACTTTCACATTACCTAGCACAGGTTGTTTTGAAAAGTCGCGTCGTTGTCCGCGCCCATTGCTACGATGTATATGTTTTTTGTTCTGTTTGTAATTGCAATAATAAGTTTCATAGCAGTTGCACGAGTAATTTTGATTATTTAACGCACATGGTTATCGCGAGATCCCATTCGCGAGATCGTGCATCTGTGTGAATTTTTTCCTTCGTATAACCGTTCAACGAGTGTTCGATTAAATATTTCAACTATTGCCTGATCACGATGAATTGCAATGTGTCTTTGTCTGATTTTGACATTATAGTTTTCATCAGCGTTGATACTGCACCAAGAAATTCTTTGCCAGGATCAACTTTTAACAACTTTGATCATCGTAGACCACCTTGTGGTCCGAGTCCTCGTTGACAAATTAGTTCAAACGCAGATGCAACTTCAGATGTTGGTTTTGTTGATAGCTACTCCGCTTTTATATATCAACGACAGTTAACGCGTGTTTGTACGTGCGTGATTTACGTCGACGTGTTTTAATGGTATGGTGCAGTAAAAACAAAATATCTGCTTGATGAACGTCATTGGGAACGCCGACATTAAAATACGCGTACTGAATTTTTTAGGTGGTGGTAGATAGATTTTCCATATTGCCTGTCGTGCTAACCACGCTACAGCAACAACACCCTGCGTCGAACACAATATGGATTCATATTATTTATCATAAGGATATAACTGACTTTTCAGCGACACGAAAACAAGAGCCAGACAAGTATCACCCAGCGTTAACGAATTCTATCAGAATGATAATAATAGGTCCAACTGGATCAGGCAAAACACAATTTTGCCTAATTTGATAATAAGATGGCTGGAGTAAGATAAATTATATTTAGTAGCTCTATCGGTAGATGATCAGAGATGCTATGAAGTACTTAAAGATTTTAAAGAAAATGCAAAATCGTTAAATGAAGACAGTGATGTTATTGATATTATTACTAATATTGATGAAGTGTCATCTGTAGATGACCTTGATGGAAGTATTAATAATTTACTAGCGTACGATGATGTCATGCTGGACACACAGTCAAATCAAATCTAGGATATTTTCTCGAAATTGACATAAAAATACAGACGCGATGTATGTTACACAGCGTTATACACAAATTCCAGGGATAACTGTAATAATTTACTCTTGTTTAATTGAGTTGATAATCATACGCTGAAAAATATTTATTATACTTGGTGTAAAGAGAGAGAGAGAGAGAGAGAGAGAGAGAGAGAGAGAGAGAGAGAGAGAGAGAGAGAGAGAGAGAGAGAGAGAGAGAGAGAGAGAGAGAGAGAGAGAGAGAGAGAATAAACTCAAGCGTCGTAATTTACGGTTTTCTTTTAGTGTCACTACTGTAACTGAGGGTCAGTCATATCCATATGTTGCATAAGAAATTGGTGCAAATCGTCTCATAGTGAGACTTTCACGTTGTGTATTGTCTGTTTCACTGGCTATAAGGCCAAGAAACTGTTTATTATTACACTATGTGTATATGTTTTGGATTTTTAACGTAGTGTTAATAATATTTAAGTCATTTTGCTACGATGTCTGCATTGTGACAGTTTATAGTGGACTTAATGACGCAGACATGTATCATGATTCCCACCAGTCACATTATCATGACACCAAGCCGACCAGTCCTAACAATAACCTACTAATTCTGAGCGCCTAGCAAAGCAGCAGTTAGTACTATTATTTAAATGTCTTTGGTATGACTCAGCCGGGGTTTGAACCCGAAACCTTCCGCATTCCAGGCGTATTCTCTACCCACTAGACCGCCGGAGCGGTCTCAAACTATGTAATGTACTTGTTAGCTTATCGGACAGATAGGTATAAAATGTTATACTTTCTAAGCACGGAATATATTTTTGGACTTTGCGTTGATTATAGTACGTTAAGATAACTACCAGTGACGTTTTGTCATTTGTATGTATCATTGTCTGAGAAAAACAAACGTAGGTTCATGAATACTGAAGTAAGCCGCATATATTTTCGACTCTCATAATTACCGTGCATAGAAACTTTAAAGTAAATGTAATTACACAATTACACCTATTATTGTTAAACATAACATTTTAATGATTTCAAAGAACTGTTGAAGTCCTTTAGCTTTTTTTAAAACAAATTCTTTTTCTTTCTTCTAAACTGTAGTTAAGATTAGAAGAATGGTGAAATTTGTGAAAAAAGGCGGCATTGGGGGTTGGGGTTGTGTTTTGTTTAAGAACGCATCTCTAAATGTTCAAAGAAGTACCTACCTCAGATGTTGTAGTGGAGGACGTCTTCAGTTGTATGATACTTTTTGGTCTTCTATTGTTCAGTTTCTCCCTTAAAGCTCTAACTGCAGTGACCGGACAACCGTTTGATCTTGGTGGGGGACTTTCAGAGGATTCTCTAAATCTGTCCGCTGATAGCGATCTCGTCGTGTGTTTAGCCTTGATATGCTTATAATCAGATTCAATGTGACTAGGACTATGTTCCGCTTTTTTCTGAGTAGAATAAATAACGCTTTCAAATGAAAATGGACACTGGTCAACATTTGATGTGATGGCCTTAGATTTCAGAACGTCTTGTCTGTTCCCAAAATTTGAAGACCCTTGACGATTTTTTTCTCCTGACAAGATATAACGTAGACTGTCTGCATTGTCAGACAAGTTGGTGGTAGACTTCCAAACGACGCTGTTCAATTTCAGAGAGAAAGGCCCGGATCTATCCATCGCAGGACTATTCCTCGAAACCTGATAACCACACCCCGTTTCTACTACATTATCCATGTGTTCCACATGAAGCTCTATTTTAGTGTTTGATTGGCCCTTAGATAGATCCATATGTATCCTCTTTTGATTTTTTCTTAAAAGATCTATCTCCGACTAAACATGAGGTAAAAAGATTGCAGGTACTTTATTTTTCCGTCAATGTCCATATGACTAGGATGGCCATTGGATGAATTTTGAAGGAACGATGTATTTACTAAGATTAGCTGTGCAGAACCTTGCGTCCGAGCGGATTTAAGAAATAAATAAGATTTAAACAAATAAATGAGGTCTAATCAAACAGTAGTCATAGACAAGCATGAGGGATTGGTTTTGCCCATGAGTTAACTTAATGTGCAAAAACAAAATTCTTTCAATGTAAGACAGTGAGCTGAAGGATCCTGTATAATGAAGCTCAGCTTACTATGGAAAACATGCAGGGGTCAAGTATTGGTAGTGCTTTTAACCTCATCCTATTTAGAATGCTCTTGACACACTGGCCATTTGATTTACACAGTCTCTAGCTAATTGACTCTTAAGATCAATTTGTCTTTCTATCATCAAAAAGAACAAGGGTCATAGAATGGTATTACTATCAAACTTAACGTGCTTACATTAAATTTGCTCTCTGTAAATATGTTAATGTGATGGTGGATCCTAAAGTTCGTGTGAAGTGCGTCATAATTGTGACGAGAACGTACTTATTTAAGTTTTAATTTGTTTTTTCAGCATATACCATTACAATATGAATATTGGTAATTTGCATTCAAAATGTGTCTACTTCGTTAACATGCGGGTCAATGGAAAAGAAACTGGTATATAATATGGTAAGCTGTAAACAAAAAGAAAACAAAACTTTTGCAAAGTAGAGCTTTTCATCGTCATATGGATACTAAAGAAACCTGAATATGAATTCCAACTACTAGAATAGACCGGGAAATTCCAAAGAATAGAACACCCAGGGGAATTTCAAAAAATTCAATACCCAAGGGAGTCAAAAAAATATACGGCTACATATGACTAGTGATAACCAGACAATGACAGTCACAAAGAATTTATACCTGGACTTTGAAAATAGCATTCAAAAACAGTGTTAATTGCAAAGGCTTGATTGCTGAGATGTGACAGAGCGGGCCAGAAAAAGGCAACATGCTAATAAGACCGCACAGAATGATTGTGTGTAACAGCTCGGGCTAGAAAAAAAAAGACAATATACCATTGAGACTGTAATTATTATTGGGATGTGAAAGTCCATAACTTCCCATAATTAAGGGTTTAAACGATAAGTCACTTCCAAAAAAAAAATAAAATGTCGCACATTTTTTGCGCCACTTTTAGTTCCATAGTTATTCCCATGTAAGATTTATTATACAGAGAATAGTGGGTAAATGGTTAAAAAGTACACTATCACCGTATTGACCATACGATAAAAGCAAGCGCAACTCGAGCGGACAATTTGTCCCTTATGCATAGCATCTGAACAGTGGTCCAAATCTAAAGCCATCGTTTACAGTTTTCGGTTACCGATTTATTATAATTTACTCGCACTCTTTTGAAAGGACAATACCACAGCCACTGCGATGCAAATTTGGTGGTAAAATGCCTTATGAAATATATATATATATATATATATATATATATATATATATATATATATATATATATATATATATATATATATATATATATATATATATAAACGTACGAATTGATAACTGCATCTTATTTGATTCATACTGCAGTTTCTGCGATCTTTTCTCTGTAATGGCTTTTAGAACTGAGATTTTACACGATTTTGCAAGACAGAAATGTCAGGAATTCGGAGAACGGGGTCGACGGCGTTATGATGTACATCGCAGCAGACGTCACAATATACAGAAAACGTCACAAGGAAGTCCATCTGAATTGGCTTAAATAGCCTGGATATTTATATCTCATTTTTTATTGGACTTCAATCTGTGATGATAAATGAAAAATATGACTCAGTCAAGGACCTCCTGTATTACTGCGCAAAGACGATGCACTACCGTTTTTGATGACCCTGGGGTCAAAACAGTCTTCAAACGGCGATATCACTGCAGCCTCGCCTATAAGTAAGTCAGTGAAGTATGGAGAGAAAGAACCCTATCACAAATAGCCTATATTGCAATAGGGAGAGCAACTCCAGCGGAGATTTCTTAACGCTGACGCATATTATCTTCATAGTCAACATTTTTCTGTAGTAATGTATTGCGATGCACTAAGGTTGATATGACCGTGAGTTTTCCCTGCATATTTGGTAAAATCTTCACATTCTGCTCTAAATCGATTGTGGAGAAAATATAGCAGAAAATGCCAATTTTGATATTATCCCTCACAACTCATACTCTTTCAGAAGATATCCCTCCCAAACTTAAAATTCCGGTGTTTTCAAAACCGATTATTTCTGTTTGAGCATTATGAGATTGTGCATTACATGCAAGATTTACTGATCTCCGAGATTTCAGTACTTAAAAACATGCAAAAACAAAACACCTCCAAAACTGAAGATTTGACAACGTAAGTGCTCTATTGAGCATGTGCAATTTTACGTTTGGCAGATAGATATTTGTACGAATAATTTTACTTATTTCTTATCAAAATCAAGACATATATTAGACCGACTTGAGCAAGTCACCACAATAAAGTACGTACTGTGGATAATTGCTTGGAACTAATTTGGTAGACTCTGAACACGTGTCCACAAAGCTGGAAAGCGTAGGCGTGTAGTATTACATGCACGTGAGTATTTTTAGCAATGAATGCAAATGTCAGAATAATAAAATAAAAAAGAGAAAAGAAGATGTTTATATCCTAACACTCCTTCAAAAGTTATAATATATTTTCGATTTTCATGGAAGAAAGTAAATATACAAATCCATTCAAAAGCTTTCCTTTGCACAGGCCACCACCCCCCACACACAAACGGTATTGCCGTAATTTAAAACGTTCCTACACTCGATACAGAGAGCCTAACAGTTAGCACATTCAACTACAAATCCCAAACACTAGTTTGTTTAACTCATTTATATGAGTAGGTAGTAAATGACAGTTCTAAACCACATGTAAACATTAAAATAAGATTTAGGAAAGGAGATTTGCATAACTCTTGCTTTGGGGTGTGACGGAGGAACGTATAATTTATTTGTACCGGTTACTTATATGACACTTTTGGAAAACCTAATTTTAAAATATCAATCTTCTTGGCGCGGGCTTTCGCGCGACAACTAAATATAAAAATACAAATTGATGTACTAATAAGTTCCAATGCCAGAATACAATGTACTCTATACCCTCAGCTATTTGTCTTAACATTTTTTGGGCCAATATAAACAATTATTCTTTGTACCATCAGTTTGTGTGTGGATACTGGTATATTCCTGGGCTACAGTAAATTTTAAACCAAAACCGCATCTTAGGGGATATAACATGATTTACTGGTGACAGTTACACATATGTCAAAGCATGGTCGACAGAATTGTGGTCTACACAACGAAAATGAATTTAATTTTTTGTGCAATATGAATATTTGCACAAAACTACAAAACAATTTTAGCAATAAGTGTTATCTGTGTATAAACAACAATACAACATATTAAAATGATTTTGAAAGGTACATGAAATGGAAAGGAGATAATGAATCGTTGAACAGTTGAGAATTAGCTGAAAACGTTATTTTATTAAGTACATGTTGGGCCAAAGAAAATCCTCTTTACTGGAAACGCTAGATGACAGATAAAGCTGCATCAAAGAGTATAAAAACTTGATGTTGAAAACTTGATGTTGTTGAAAGATAAAGAGGTTTTTGTTTGTAATATAAGTGGAAAAAAAAGTACATTGAACAATAAAGTTGTTAAAACATGCATATCATGTGAATTCGCATTGACCTCAAAATCAGGGAAAAAAAGGAACCACATCGAAATACAACACAGCTAAAAAACCAAAATGGTATAGATCAAAAATATGATATGGCGACTACAATACAAACACAGTCATTGATGGGTAATAAATG